GAGGCATACAAATGCACAGGGAGGTAAGAGATGGAAAAGTAAGGAGACGAAGAGGGAGAGAGAGGGAGAGAGAACGAGAGGGGGTAGCCTATGGCCCGGGTTCAAATTCAGTTCTCTTTAATTTATTTGACCCAGTACTGATGATCATAATTTTATCTACCATGTGATTGCCATGTGAACGCCCACCGAATAGCACTAGCTCACATTTTGTTATTATTGTCAAGAACTTATTGGCATGCAGCCAGTAGATTTTCATCATGTGTTTGATCTTGTATTGAAAAAAAGATCAAACACATCATCATAATCTACAGAGTGCAACAAAAAAAATTCTTAACAACAATTGAAATTTCTTTCAGGAAGCCTAACACTAAAAGCTGTTTTTGATTCAAAGAGCATCGTAGAGACAATAAACAAATAAGAATAATAATACATTCACTTCTATTTACCCCGCCAAATAATCCGAACAAAATAATCAACGGAGGGTAATCAACTGTTAAACGAATTTATGATGAGTCCTTGAAAAATTAATTAATACTGCTTGTCAAATATTATTGAAGAACAGCAAAGGCGAACGCGATTGTCGCTACAATTCAGAAATCATTGCTTGCATTGCTTTTCTCTCAAAATTACCGTGCGATATCAAGCTACATAGAACTAAGATCGACAAAAAGATATTGTCTTGAAAACAGTCAGAAACATTAGAACTTGAATGAATAAAACATAATGCAAATGAAGAAGACTAGAATGAATAGGACACGATTTCATTTCTACCATTTAAATCATCCAGTACCAAATACCTGAGCAAAATTCGAACCAGATGCATTTAATGGTAAACTTAAAGACAATGATTCATGACAATTGTAAATTGTCGTGAGTTTATCGTCTATGTAGACGTATTGCAAAAGATAACCAGGATAATAAGGATCAGAATGATACCTCTACTACTAGCCTACTTCTACATGACTATACTATACTACTGCCATTGTAGAATATGCTTATAATACAGATGATAATAATGATATGATTAACAATTATAACTAGACTTTAATTCGTCACTTTGACGAATTAGGTGATACGTATGCTATTTTTGTATCATGAAAGTGTGCCGATCATGATCTAATGATAATATTCATAAATACGATAATAAAGATATTGATGATGATGATTTATTTGTTTTAAATGACGATGACAATGATTAAAAGTGGTTTAGCGCCCCCTTCAGATATTCGATAGACAATTGTTATATGATTAATTTACTAAACAAGCTCAAATTTTCGCCTGATTGTAGAGCAGTTTCATGATAATGGCTTTATTAATTCAGGGCCTATCTCACTGAGCGGTGAATGCTTGCGAACGTAGCGAATTAGGGGTATTGCCATAGTTTGTAAAATGTTGTAAAAGGTTGCAAGAAAGATCGCAAACAGTTTTTCTTGTCGCAAAGAAATTTTGAACATGTTCAAAATTTCTTTGCGAATTTATTTTTCCGCAAACAGTTGTAAGCGTTTGCAAAACAGTTGCAAGCGTTTGCAAAACAGTCGTAAGCCTTTGCAAACGGTTGTAAGACGGGGTCGCTGAAGTTCTTTTTGTTTCGCCAATGCTATAGCGACCACGTGATCACATGTTTCCTATATAAAATCGACCCATTGAGATAAATTTGCCATATAGGTCGTCATGCCGAAGAAACAAGGTACTAAAAGGAGAGCCCCGGCCGAGGAAGAACTCCCCTCAGTCCAGGAGGGTGCTGCTAACCCCTCTGCTGCTGCTGAACCTCCTGATGTTGTAGAAGATGATGAGTCCTCTTCCCCATCACCCTCTAATGATGGTGAGACAAAACGGAAGAAGAAGAAGTCAAGTGTTGCCTATGCTTGGACATCAGCAGACAGAGAATTGTTGGCAGCCTTTTTTGAGAAGTACCCCATGTTCTACAACTCATATTTAGATGAATTTAAGGACACGACTGCCAAGAGAGAGGTGGTGAAGCAGTCATGTCATGGGTTTCCTGAAAAATGACAGGACCAGGTTCGTCAAGGTTAACTCCAAGAAGTCTGGACAGGCAGATGAGCAGTTCACAGCTACGGACCAGTGGATTATGACCAACTTTGCCTCCCTCCGCCCACATATCAAGAAGAGACGTGGCAAGGTAACACACCAGGTGAGAGTTCCCCCCCCCCCCAAAAAAAAAAAAAAAATAAAAAAAAAAAATAATAATAATAAAACAAATAATAAAAAAGAATATTATAGTGATTTACTGTTCTTTTTTTCAAAACATTGTTTATTGTACTATATGCATAACATGCGTTTATATTTTTCTGTTGCAGTTTCCTTCTTCCAAGGCTTCCTCCAACCCAACATCACAACCGCCATCAATTGCCTCTTACAGTGATGAGGAAGATCCCATCCCATCCGCCCCATCCACCAGCACTGTTTCTGGGCACAAGGTAGTGGAAAAGGAGGCCAGCAGGCAGAGTGCTACTGCCAGCAGAAAGTCCAGCCGGGATTCCTCGACCATCCATGAAAACACCGATGAACTGCTTTCACAGGTAACACACTTGTTCCATTTTTAATTTTCTATTTCTGCAGTGCAGTTTCTTCAAAGCTGCATTTGTCTATCAATCACTCACATCCAAAATATTATATGTAGTGCTGTATGAATAATATGGATTTAATCATGTGCTTTCAAGTGCTTTCTGGGTATTCTTGTATAATTGTCGAGTTTCCTGTACATATATATACATATATTGCACGTCTGTGAGAAGTCAATGTATAGTGCTCTGGTAGCCCCTTACTTCCAGCACCTTCCTCTGCATTAATCATTGTTCACAACTGATTCCAAGATTCGTCTTGGGGTCACATGTCATCAATTATGATCAAAAATTGATGCTAATTGTTTTTCCTGTGTTCCAGATTTTGGCCAGAGCAGATCAAGCAATGCAGCAAAGACTAGGACAGAACGTATCCCTCTCGAGCCACGAGGCAGAAGTCAAGAGCTTCGCCCAGTATCGTACCACTCTTATGACTAAGATTCCAGAAGGCCAGAAATGGATTGACTACAGCCAGCAGGTGCTGGCCCTTACTATGGAATGTAGCAGTAGACGCTGCCTTCAGCAGCAGCAATACAGTCAGCAGCAGCAGTACTTTTATCAGCCACAGCAGTACTTTCAACAGCAGCAACAGCAATTCCCTCCGCAGCTGCTACAGTACACCCGCCAGCCAGTTACGCTGCAGTCAGAACAGAGCGCCACCAGTACCACCACCACCTTGACTCCTGTGACCACAGTCAGTGCTGGCTTAAACTCCAGTCTAGGTCCACTGCTGAACTTCCCAGGAAGTGAATTCCTGGCCAGCAAGACCAGCACACCCACCAACACCACTTAATCCGGTTAAAGAGTTTGAATAGATTTTTACATTGTAGTTTATGTAATTTTATTATTTCAAGTTGTCATTTCCTGTATTGGTGATTTTAAGAGTTAAAACACCTTTTTTTCATTTCAGTATTTATGTTTCTATCGTATTACCAATAAAGTAATAAGTATGATAATATTACGGTTCATAAGTATGGAGTTAACTTTGCATGTACAATTTCCAGAAAAGGTTTGCAAACTTTTATTTACATTTCACATTGAAACCCTACAGAAAAAAACGTAGATAGACAGGAAAGTTTTTTACATTGTAGTTTATGTAATTTTCTTATTTCATGTTGTTATTTCCTGTGTTGATTTTGAGAGTTAATAAAACACCTTTTATCTCTGTATTTTTTCCTTTATTCATTACCAATTAATTATAAGTTTAACATCATTTCAGTTTACAAATATGGAGTGAACTTTGCATGCAAATTGCAAGTAAAATTGTGAAAACTTTTATTTACATATCACATTGAACCCCTAAAAAGGAATTTTTATGCTACTTTGAATTCATTATTATTTGTGGGGTACCAAATAACGTGGATTTCGTAATCTGGTCAATACGCGAAATTAAAATTACAACGAACAGACGAACCACAGTGAGATCTCCTTCAATAATTAGAAATGCTAATAATTTTGGATGTCCGCGAAATGGTTATTTGTTCAATCCACGAAATTTGGTACCCACGCAACAAAATGAATTCACAGTATTTGATCGATAACAATTTTACAGAAACCAAGTCGTACAAATTATTTATTCGCAAAGACTTTATTACATTTTTCACAATCATAATGTGCCTAATAATAAAGGTAAACTAACCGAAATTTGTCGTACTTAGATCAAACTTTGCAAAAAAGCAACGGCATCATCAGCAAAATTGATGAATGACTAGGGTTTCAGCATAATAATAATAACAATAACATTTAAATATTCTTTAAACGTGAAAACTCAGGATATTAAAAAAACACTTTTGACCCTCCTTTGCATTACTAAGATTGTGGTATTTTAGCATTATTACAAAATATGATTATATTATAGACTACCTGCATACAAAATTTGGAGTAATCGGTACTTGGAATGTACTCTTGGCAAAACACATGTATTAATTAAAAAGCATTTTGGGGCTGTAAAAATATCTCAACTCCTTCTCAGGCTAAACATATTCTCTCATCTTCCATAGGTATAAAACACATATCTGACACGATGGCGATAGGGCCGATTTTTTAATGTCACAGAAAATCAAAACTTACGTCACCATGTCGGTAGCAAATTGAAATATTGAGGCACTATCCTTTAAAGAGTACACTCTCAGCTTCAACATAACAATTTGAGAGAACTATGACCAAAGCTAAGCAACATATAGCTTCCGAAAAATGGGAAAAGGTCAGTAAGACTATGACAAATATTACAAAAATGATCATGAAAAATCAAAGTTTATGGCATAATGATGACGTCATAGCGTCCGATCAGCAGCCTTTGGTAGTGCTGAACACAGTTGGAAATCAGGTAGACCACTTTCTGTACTTGTTCACATCTACAGCCTTGTCCTGCCATGAAACCTTGTCGATGGTGGTATAATAGTCTCTAAGATAGTCTCTCTAGGCTCTAGCACTTCTGGTTCCAACATTTCCTCCAACAACTTGCAAAGAGTCAAGAGTATCTTCTGACCTCCAGCTTCCATCTGCCCACCAGTAATGGTCTGCATCAGTCTCTCCTCTGTCAGCTCTTCTGGTGATCTTCTGTGGTTTTCTAGCGGCTAACAAGTTGTGGAGACAGCAACAAGCCAGTACAATCGTCTCCACATTTCCAGGCTTCTGGAGCATTGTAGTTAACAGACATCTGAATCTGTGTGCTAGTATGCCAAATGAATTTTCAACAATTCTTCTGGCCCTGGAGAGTCGATAGTTGAACAACCTCTCTGGCTTGGTCATGTTCCTGGTGGCATAGGGCTTCATCATCCAGTCTTTGAGGGCAAAAGCATCATCCCCTACAAAGAAGTAGGGGATTGAGTGATCATCGTCAGGCAGGGGTTCTGGTGGAGGTAGTGCTGCTGCTCCCTCTTCCAAAACGGAGTAGAACTCGCTATCTTTGAAGATACCAGCGTCTGAGCAGCTGCCATTGGAACCAACATCTAAGTACATGAAGTTATACTGGGAATCCACTACTGCCAACATTACAATTGAAAAATATCCCTTATAGTTGTGGTAGGCGGATCCTGAGTGAGATGGAGCCCGGATGGCCACATGCTTGCCGTCAAAGGCTCCCAGCGTGTGGTGGAAGTTCCATCTGTCTGAGAAGCCTTGAGCAACTTGTTTCCATTCTTCCTCGGTTGTAAGAAGCTTGATGAACTCTTCATGAAGTTCCTCGTAGATGGCCTGGCAGACTTCTGACACAATGGTCACTATGGTGTTGGGTGCAACACGAAATCTATAGGACAGGGACATATAACTTTCACCACTGGCCAGGCGCGGATCCAGGATTTCTTAGGGGAGGGGGCCCAACTTTTTTTTTTTTTGCTCCCGAAAATTTGAAAATCGCGCCGGCCGAAAAGTCGCTCAGTGGGGGGGGGGGGGGGGGGGGGGGGGGGGGGGGGGGGGGGGGGGGGGGGGGGAGTAGTGAGCACATTTTTTTTTTTTGATCCTCAAAAAAAATTTCAATTTGCACCCCCCCCCCCCCCTTGAGCGCCAGGGGGGGGGGGGGGGCCCAACCCCAAAAAATCGTAAAAATCACGTGATTTTACATGATTTTTTTCTCAAGGGTGGGGGGGACCCGGGCCCCCCGGGCCCCCCACCCCTGGATCCGCCACTGCCACTGGCCATGTATCTCAATGCAATGGCCAGCTTCAGACCAGGCTCCAGAGCTCTTCTTAGGTTGGTGTCCTTCTTCTGGATGCGAGGGGTTAACCTCTCAACAAGCACATTTTTTTTTTTTTGATCCTCAAAAAAAATTTCAATTTGCACCCCCCCCCCCCTTGAGCGCCAGGGGGGGGGGGGGGGGCCCAACCCCAAAAAATCGTAAAAATCACGTGATTTTACATGATTGTTTTCTCAAGGGTGGGGGGGACCCGGGCCCCCGGGCCCCCCCACCCCTGGATCCGCCACTGCCACTGGCCATGTATCTCAATGCAATGGCCAGCTTCAGACCAGGCTCCAGAGCTCGTCTTAGGTTGGTGTCCTTCTTCTGGATGCGAGGGGTTAACCTCTCAACAAGCACATTTTTTTTTTTTTGATCCTCAAAAAAAATTTCAATTTGCAATCCCCCCCCCCCTTGAGCGCCAGGGGGGGGGGGGGCCCAACCCCAAAAAATCGTAAAAATCACGTGATTTTACATGATTTTTTCTCAAGGGTGGGGGGGACCCGGGCCCCCGGGCCCCCCCACCCCTGGATCCGCCACTGCCACTGGCCATGTATCTCAATGCAATGGCCAGCTTCAGACCAGGCTCCAGAGCTCGTCTTAGGTTGGTGTCCTTCTTCTGGATGCGAGGGGTTAACCTCTCAACAAGCTCGTGAAACAGGTCAGTTTCCACTCTGAGAAAGTTATTGAAGCTATTGACATCTCCATCATGTAATTGCTGCAAAAGCTTTTCATATTAACCGAAGTCTCTTCTCTGCAGCAACCACTCTCTGACCCAAACAGTCTTTGTTTTCTTCTTCCTTTCTTTTTTTTCTTCATCTTCTTTCTTTCTCTTAAGTTGCACGATAGCTGTAGCAGCAGCCAGGCAAAGCAGTTCTTCAATTTTAGCAGCACGTTGGGCCTCTTCCTGGCAGAAATTCATTTCCACATTCTGAAAATCCATCTTGAAAAAATTACTCGACTGCGGCCACAAGAAATCTGAATGCTGGGGAAGGTTGCTCACCAATTTTATAGGATTGGGTCCATAGATTCGCCTTGTACTTTACCAGGAGTTGGCAAAAGGTCCCAAACATTCACAAATAGTGGCAAAGGATTCGCAAATAGTTGCTAATCTTCGCAAAAACTGTCGCTAACATTTGCTTACAGTCGCTAATAGTCGCCAACTGCCTTTCGCATCACTTTCGCAAACATTCGCTCAAATGTTGCTAATTGTCGCTAAACATCGCTAAAAGTCGCTAAATATCGCTAATGGCAGAGGCGAACCCTGATTTTCGCCAACATTCGTTAGAAAAGTTGGCGAATCCCAAATTCGCTACGTTCGCAAGCATTCGCCGCTCAATGAGATAGGCCCTGATGAGATATCCTGCGAACAAATTAATGGCAGAATAATGAATGGGAATAATAATAACTTGAATTTGTCACTTTGACAATTAGATTATACGTATGCTAATGTTTTAAATAGTGAAGAATGTATTTTCACGATTTATATTATCTTCTAAAATGCTTTCTATTAAAGGTAAAAACCAGTATTGGAAACGCCCCAATTTCAAAAAAATGAAATGGCAGCTCTTATTACCAATCATGTGAAAGAATATGTTTTGACTAATACATGATGATAACAATTTTGCCGGGAAACCGCCTACTAATTGATATGTTTGGTAAATTGGTTTATCTACATGGTCTGTGAGAGATAAACACACGTGTCGCGCACGTGTGCGTATAGTCTCATATACATCTTTCAGTGTACAGTGCTTGTAACTTTACGAAGACTGGGCCACATTTCTTATCATTTTGATGATTCCAAAACCTTGCAGTACACACCAATACTTAAATGCTAGATGATCAACCTTTTCTGATCGATTCCACGTTTCTTTCACAATGCAATCGCATGACCATAACTGGTCTTTACCTTGAAGGTCTATCCATATGAAAAGTTTCAACTGTGTAGTATATTAACCATTATGGATCTATGGAAGATAGATTGAGACGATATATGACAATTGACCCCATACAATAAGCAGTTACACCTTTGACCCTAATTGACATAACGAAGAATGCATTTTCACAATTTCATCTTCTTCCATGAAATGCTCTACCCGCCATGTTTACCTAGATTGTGCTGCGCATAGATTCAATCGGATTATTTTGGGCCATTACAAGAAGTGGGTTATTAATGTGGACAAATGCTCATGTACCCTTTAAGCTCATATCATGTATTTTATTACCAGAGGAAAAAAAATTGGTCAGTCACTCAATAGTGTATGACAGTAAAGAATAGAAAGTAAAGGGGTTTCCTTGTTTAATTTGAATACTAGAAAAATGCTAACGTTTATATTTCACAAATAGGACAAACGTGACATATGAATAATTCCTACAATGTTCTACAACATTTGCGAATTTAACTTTCACCATCTGATCAAAAAAAAAAGACACAACTTTTATAGCCCACAGTCTCAGCTATAACATACCAAAATTTGGGAGAACACAGAGCACAAAATAAGCTAGATAGTGCTCAAAGATTAATGTCATGTAGATTCATGATTTGAACTAAATTGGCACCTTCCACAGGCTTAACACGCAAATTAAGAAAATCTGTCAAGTTACCTTTAATCGCAATTTTCACTATGATGATGTCATCAAAATGAAAAATAATATGCAGTTAACTTGTAGACAATTGCCTCAACTACAATATATCAACATTAAGAAGAGAATCAATCAATATTTACAGAGATACAATCAATTTTCCATAAATATGCTGACGTCATAATATGCATATTCGTGTTTTGAGTTCCAAGGTCAATATGATGATGACACGATATACTTAATGGCCAAATGAGACATAAAATCACATCTCCGACTCATACTCTATCCGAATATGAAAAAAAATTGAGGGTTCCCGTCCATTCTAAAGAGTCATAAGGGTTTTGTGTAGGCATATTGTTGCCCATATATGCTATGTATTACATGAGCACGCGCGCACGGACGTTTATCTTGAACGGACGCTCATTCCCTTATTAATGGTCATAAAGAGATAAACATGGTATCAAATTGTTCGGGAAAATATGAGGAATACTGTGTCAAATAATCTAGGATGAATTATTTTGCGTTCGGCCGTGACAAACGAAAACGCGCGCGCGATTCTTTATGAAATGCTTTTGCTAATAATGGCGTACGCTCGCGTTTTTTGACGTGAAATTGACCGGACTGATATTGACCTTGATCCTGGTAAATATGAATGAGAAAGGTCTTTTCGTTATGAAGATATGATCATATTTGATTTTTACAAAATGGTGCCTGGATGACGTTATCAATCAAGGTCAAGGTTGAAAACCTTATTGTGCTCTTTCCTCATGCCTATATTTTGTGTGCCAAATTTCAAGGCATTTGATTGAGCCATTTTCAAGTTATCGTGCTAACAAAAAAGTGGTTAGAAATAAGACAAATATTCTAACGAAAACATAAGGTGATCTGTATTATATACAGCCCACCTGATAATACATTACATTTATAATGCGCTTCATACAATGTTTCTAAACGCAAGAGAAAGAAGAAAGGATGAGGATGTGGGAGGAAAAAGGACTTACCTAGAAGTCATTTCGAATATACTGAAATAACTTTCCATCTATCACTGTACGTCCCATATGATGTACACTGAACACTCATTTCATGTCGTGGGAAGTTTTTTTTTTAAAGGTAGAGCAGCAAGCCACATTCCCCAATACGCGCATACCTCCTAGTTAATTTCAAACAGCTCATCAATATATAAGACCTGAAATGACCTCAATGCAAGCAAGCACAAACCATCTGCAAGTAAAGCATTACAGGGGCGTAACCAAAGGGGGGGTGTGGGGGTGCGACATCCCCCCCCCCACCTCTCAGGATTGCGCTGCCGTCGGGAAAAAAGAAAAAAGGGGGAGGGAAAAAAAGAGAGGGCAAGGGAAAAAAAAAGAAAAAAGAAAAGAAAAAAAAAGAAAGTAAGGAAAAGAAAGGACAGAAAGGAAAAGAAAGAAAAGAAAAGAGAAGAAAGAAGGAGAAGAAAAAAAAAGAGGGAGGAGAGGAAAGAAAGGAAAAGAAAGAAAACAAAGGGGAAAAAAAAGAAAAAAGAGAAAAGGGAAACAAAAGAAACGGGGGGGGGGTGTGAAAGAGAGGAGGGGGAGGTAAGAGCCTGAGAAAGCAGGAGTGGGGGTAAAAGAAAGGGGGGGGTCGTTGGGTGGAGTCGTCTCGTCAAGGAAGCAGAAAAGACACGAGTAAATATGTTGCTGTGTCGGGTCAGCTGTGTCGGTATTTTTGCTCGATACTCGTGTACTATATCAATGCAGAAGTTTGAAGTCGGTGAGATGTATATTGTCGGTCGACCAACAAGTTTTTTTCCCTACGAACTGTGACTTTGTATCCACTGTGACGACTTCGAGAGTGACTACAACTACAATACTTGTATTTTCTCGAAGTTTCACTTTCCTATAATATCAGCTAAAGAAATCAGAGATTTAACATTTTCAGGGAAACTAAATTCAAACAACGATACGACGAATCGTCTTCCTTTCTCTATATTTTGATGAAACGCCAAAATTTCAGCGCTTCGCGCGGGAGG